GTAATAAGTGGTACCAAATTGGGTATTGGATGAATGAATAGAGCTGGAATCCCAAAATTTGAAGTCTCTCTTGGTATATGTGATGGTTTTAGAAATGTGCACTATTATTATTAGAAAATAACTAAATTTAATACAATTTAGTACAGGGTGTACAGATAATTATTAAAATCTGAAATTTTATATTAGGGTCGCTGTTCTAGCCTGGACATATGGTATAAGTAGTATTATAAGTAAATATGATATAAGTAGTATTATGAATATGACAGATAAAAGTATTGAAAATTGTGTCTCTTTGTGGGTGAGGTACCAAAAGGGTTTCGCAGATATATAGCATCTTTACAACAGATCTTGTGTTAGAAAACATTTTTGTATGTGTGAAATTTGAAGAGAGTCGGATTCTTATTTCGCCATCTTTGAGCGTTTTGTTTTCGTCGTTTTTCTTTCTGTGCAAAAAATATGTTTTTTTTTTTTTTTGAAAATTTCGACCGTTTGTGGGGGAAGTACCAGGAGGAGTTGGACATATGGAGTTGGTTTTGGAAATATGCACTCCAATTGTACGACAAGTTGTGAATGGTGCTATATTTGGTATTGGTATTTTTTTTTCTGTGCAAAAAAATGTATTTTTTGAAAAATTCGACCGTTTGTGGGGAAGGTACCAGAAGGATTGAACCGATATATTCCATCTTAACATCAGACCTTAGATTAATATAAATATTGGGATGTGTGATATTTGAAGACAATCGGAATGTTACATCACATTTTATAAGAGTTGTAATTATTCAAAATTTTGACCATTTGTGGGGAGGTACCAGAAGCAGTGGACCGATATTGTCCATTCTCGCACCAAGCCTATCTCTGACGCAAATATTAAGATTTGCAAAGTTGGAGCAAAATCATATTATCGTTTCTCTTTCTGTGCAAAAAAAATGTATTTTTTGAAAATTTCGACCATTTGTGGGGAAGGTACCTGAAAGATTGGACCGATATATACCTTCTTAACACAATACCTTGGGTTTATATAAATATTGGGATGTGTGAAATTTGAAGACAATCGGAATGTTACATCACATTTTATGAGAGTTGTAATTATTTAAAATGTTGAACATTAGTGTGGGGGGTACCAGAAGGAGTGTACCGATATTGTCCGTTTTCGCACCAGATCTAGCACTGACGCAAATATTAGAATTTGCAAAATTGGAGCAAAATCGGATTTCTGCGCAAAAAATAAATTTTTTGAAAATTTCGACCTTTTGTGGGTGAGGTACCAGAAGGGTGGACCGATATTGCCCATCTCCGAACTCAATCTAAGTTTGACTAAAATATTACGACGTACCAAGTCTGGACCAAATCGGATACTCCCTTCGAGAGTTATCGTGCGCACCAGCCAGCCAGACAGACGGACGGACAGCTAGATCGACTCCAAATGGTCTGAAACGAATTTGGTCCAAAGAGACTTAGGGTCTAAAACCGTTATTTCGTTTTGACCGTATCAAATGATATATACCCTCTGTAGCCAAATGGCTGAGGGTATAATTATAAAATTTGATATCTAGATTATGAGCTATGAAGTTTTTTTCCTTTTTCAAGCTGAACAAAATTTTGCATTTTTGAGTACTAAAAAGGCCTAACACGAATTGTTGGAACGAATCTAAAATTTTAAGGTGGACTTTTCGCTGATGAAGTAGTGGGCCAAGTGCCCTAGTATAATATTAAATCATTTTATTAAGGTACCAGAAAGCCATAGCTCCTTAAATATGGAGTTTTCAGCGTTTTTAGATAATATTTGTGATCACTTTTATAGGCATGAATTATTGAGAATTTAAAAATGGCCATAACTCCTTAAATATTGAGTTTTCAGCGCTTTTAGCTATTATTTGTGATCACTTTTATAGGCATGAATTATTTAGAACTTTAAAATGATAAATCGTATTAAGTCCTACATTGTCTGGCGAAACGAGACATTTCATAACATGAACAGCTAAACGATCTGAAAAGGAAAACCAGATAAACACTATCACACACTCACCACTATGCGAAGCGTTTCATCTTCGGTTAAGCGGCTCATCAGGCATATTTAGTGTAAAAGATGGCTTACATGGGCCGTTCTTTGGAAAATTGTATTTATTTCGAACTTTTTGCGATATGGGAAATACCAGATTTGCATATGGGAAATACCAGAAACCATCTGTTTACGCCAAATGTGCATCCCTAAACTTTCCCCTTTCTTTTTGATTAACTAATATCTTTCTAAAAATGCCAAGGTTATTCCAGTGTAATAACGGCAAGATACTTGTACTAAAGTAATCAGTTTATAGCGAGTATATCGGCCATGTTGAAGGGACAATTTCCTTTTTTATCTGTCTTGTTTTTTGCTAACCTTGGAAGATACCACACCTGTCCAGTGAGTAGTCAATCCTAAGGCATCCAAAATAATAAAGATACTCTCCAACACTGAATATCCTAACACTTTATTATTTTATTTTTCTGGTGCTCTGTTGGGTTCATTTTCTTCATCCATTTGTGCGAGCAACGAGAACAAATATACGTACATATATTTGCTTCTTGTTTTGGCTCTCCATTACACGGTCTCTGCAATTAATCAGTGAACTCCCACGCTCCAATTCAGCAATATATGCGTGAACATTTTGGTCCTAACGAGCCGGATCAGAGACAGGGCCGTAAGGAGAGATTTCAGCTTCACAAAAAATTGATGCTCACTGGTATGTTTGGTTCCTTCGCTAGTTGGATTTTCAAGTGAGATCAGTTTGGTTTTTGTCACACAACACGGTGTTACAAAATTATTATTAAAAAGATAACCTAAAGTTGCCGGTAAACTTGGAGAAAACCCCTAAAGTTGCTGGTAAACTTGGATCAAATACCCTAAAGTTGCTGGTAAACTTGGATCAAATACCCTAAAGTTGCCGGTAAACTTGGACAAACCCCTAAATTTGCTGGTAAAAGTGGAAAAAACCGCAAAAAATTGAAGTTTGTTCCAGAGAAGTGCCGACGGCAAAGCATAGCAAGTAAAAATTACAATCTTGTAATCCGCAGTAAGTTCCCCAAATACTGATTAAAGTGTAAAGTGGCAGACCAGGTGAATCTAAATATGGTCATTTTATCCAAAATTTCAAAAAAAAATAATCATATTAAAAAATAAATATAAAAAAATAAATATAAAAAAATTCACAGTTTACACAAGCCTTTGCTTGATGTAAAATACTTTTGTTTGACAGTGTTTAACACGCTCCTCAAAAAACGTGGTTTTGTTATTTGGTATGTTCAAACCAATATATCGAACAAATGCACATGTTATTAACATAGGTGATCCAACATCAATGTTAATAACATTCCACTGACTGCCGCTCAAGTCATTCCTCATATTGGCATTTATGCGCATGTCCGTTGAGAGTACTGCTTCGCTCATCCACCTGATTAATCTGAGTTTCAGCACATGCCTTTCTCTTAAGTGCGCTGAGCAACGAATCACAACACAAGTCTCTTTGTCCCACATATACGCATGCCGTTCAGAGTTGGACAACACTCATCAAACCAGTTTCTCCTAACTCTTAAAGCACATTTCTCTTACGCCCACTGAGAATTTAAGCGCTCTTGTACATTGAGTGCTAGTGGCATAGTCAGCAACAGTTCATTTTGCCTAGTATGTTGTGTGCTGCGTTCGTTCTCTTTGAGTGGACTTCACTGGTTGGCTGATTGCCTTGCGTGTTTTGTGCTGGTCTCTTCATGTGGATTTCTCTGTTTACTTATCTCATGTAAATGGTTTGCGCGTACGTGTATGTGCGTAATAACAACAGAGAATAAACAATGATAAGTGAGTCACACGTGTCTGGCGCTCTCCATCAAAATCAAAACAAATAAGAAACAAGCAGTTGGTTCAATGTTTTGTTTCCATTTTGTACCCTCCGCCAGACAATCTGTCGGGTTTGTTTACATTTTTTGCGATATCCCATAGATAGTTCGTCAACAGATAGACTGACACAGTGGTTTGAAGCAGTCTTTAGTCTTTTTATTTTTATATCAGAATTCTTACTTTAATTTATTTTATTTTTTTTTTGATTTTCTTAAATTGCAATTCAAAATTTTAAATATCTTTTAATGTCCTAATATTTCTTTTTTATTTTCTCTCAATATTTTTGTAATTTTAAATTCATGTTTTTCTATAATGTTTCAATTTTTTCCTCAAAACAATTTTATTTTAATATTTTTTAGATTTTGTTCACATTAAACTCACAATTTTATAATTTTTATAATTCTTCTCAGTTTTTTATTTCTATTCTTGAAATTTATTTTCTCAATATTTTCCTCTAATTTTTATTTATTTTTCGATTTTGTCCGAACAACATTTTATATTTCGAAATATTTTTATTTTCTACTAACTTCAATATTTTTTTTGATTTTCAAAATATTATTATATTTTATAGTTTTTCTTGATTCAAGAACTGTTTTCTATTTTTCTCTCATTTTTTTTTTTATTTTTCCTAAAATTTTTTTTTTTTTTTAGGCATTTTTAATTTTAATTCAATTTAATTCTTTAAACGAATTGAACAAAGTTTTAAATTTGAAGTTAAAAAAAAAATTGTATATATTTCTGTTAATTAATATAAATTAATATAAATGTTTTATTAAATATTTCTTTCTTGGATTTTCGTAGTAGTGGATTTTTGACATTAAGAATTTTTCTTTATTTCTTTTTCGATATCTTTTTCATAGATTTTTGATTCAACTTAGGTTTTAGGAAAATAAAACATTTTTCATAAAATTTATACTTTTTTTTGTTTTTCAACAATCTATGTAGTTCAAACTATTTCCTAAATTGAATATTTGTATAAAATTTAGTTTTTTCTTAATTTCCAAATCTAAATCTGTCGAGTGCCTTGAGGATAAATTATTATTTGTTTCTATCGCTAAATCTCAGATCTGCTTTTTCCAATATTCCCAATTCCTTGTGACTTACACAAAAAAAAAAAAACCAGAAAAAAAAAATGTCATTAGACAGATTTATTCGCCTAGCTGATAGCTTGGTGGAGTTTGAGGCGTCACTCAATAGCAATGAGTTCCCCGTATCCACACGTTGCCTTTTAGATGCGCACATCGGGGAAACAAAATCTACTTGGGAAAGACTTAAAGTAATTTATGAACAATGTTTGGATGACTTGGCCAACAAAGAAGAGAGTGAGGAAGAGGCGGATGACGAAGCGTCAGAAATCGAGACAGTGAAACAAAAATATAGGAATTCGTATTCCACCTACTGTCGCATCATATCAAAGTTAACTGAAGCTTTAGAAAACATGTCGAACATAGTTCACAGTCCCTCTCCTAGCCTTCAACCATCTCCAAACAACCCTTTCCATTTGCCTCCAATAGAGCTTCCCACCTTCCATGGTGATTATAGGTCATGGCCTACGTTCCGCGATATGTTTTCCGCAGTTTGTATCCGCAATTCAAAGTTGTGCCCGGTAGAAAAGCTTTTCCATTTGTCGCAGAAAACTAAGGGAGAAGCTCATGAGATTGTAGCCAAAAGTCCGCTCACAAATGATGGCTTCCAGAATGCCTGGAGTAACCTCTGTGCGCGCTATGAGAACAAAAGGGTTCTTGTTAATGAGCAGCTCAAAATTCTTTTTAGCCTTCCTTCGATTCCAACCGAAAATGCGGCATCTCTTAAAAGGATTCAACGGGATATAAATGGTTGCATATCCACTTTGAATCTTTATAGCATTGATGTCAACAGCTGGAATCCAATCTTTATATTCTTGTGCTCCAATTGCCTTCCGGATTCAACTCTCACATTATGGGAGCAAACGTTGACCGACAAGGCTATCATTCCACAATGGTCAGAGTTGGATAGGTTTTTAACAAACCGTCATAGGACCCTAGAATCGGTTTTGGAAGTGAAGAGTTCCCATGACCCCAAACCGAACGTTCCAAAACACAAATCTTCGATATCAAAAAGCGTAAGCTCAAAAGTCAATACATTTCAGACAAATATATCCCACTCTAAATGCAAACTTTGTTCGAATGAATTTCACGTCATTCGGAAATGTCCCAAGTTCCTTAATATGGATCATAGTCAGAGGTTAACTGAAGTAAAAAACAGTAATTTATGCCTCAATTGTTTTTCCAGTGCTCATTTGCTTAAAAATTGCAAGAGCAAAAATTCATGTTTCAAATGTAAGAAACGGCACAACACTTTGCTTCATAAAGACAACAACAACTCCAATTCAGTAGTACCTACAACTCCTAAAGGTTCTCAACGTTCCAACCCCAGTCCTTCTGCAGCTCCCTTTGTTCCTCTAACTCCGTCTCCAGTACAGTCCACTTCTCAATCCAGTGGTGTTATCCAAAATTGTTTTGCCACAAATTCGAAGGGGGTTTTGCTTGGAACGGCATTGGTCAAAATCATCCATTTGGATGTCGTTTATACAGCAAGGGTATTAATCGATTCCGGTTCAGAGGGAACATTTGTATCCGAAAGATGGTTTAATCTTCTTAAGCTACCATCTACTCGTACCTCTGCAAAAATATCCGGTCTTAACAATATCCTTGCGGCAGATGTACATAAGGAATGTCGTTTTACGATGGGTTCATTTTCTAATGCAACATTTACAATTGACATTTCTGCTCTAGTTGTTCCACATTTATCCAACAATCTTCCATCTTCTACTATACATTCAGATGATCTTTTAAAGTTGCCAGAATTAGTTTTGGCCGATCCGAAATTCTACGAAAGTTCGAAGATTGATATTCTTTTAGGTGCCGATGTCTTGCCATCGATTATGTTATCCGGTTGTAGACATGGAATATGTGGGTCATTGATGGCACAAGAAACAGTCTTTGGATGGATTTTAACCGGACCAATTGGAGGTCAAAAGAAATCTAGATCTTGTCCCACTATCCTATCATACTTCTGTGAAATATCAATTGACCAGCAGATTTCACGTTTTTGGGAGGTGGAGAAAGTTCCACAGAAGAAGCTAGTGTCCGAATCTGAAAAATTCTGCGAGGATTTATATGAGAAAACGACAACTCGCGATCATGAGGGCAGATATGTAGTTTTTCTTCCATTTAAAGAGGGCTATTCACATACTTCGAATATAGGTAATTCCCGGAATAGTGCAATGGCGCAGTTTCTCAGGAATGAAAAACGATTGCTCCGTGATCCACAACTTAAGAAAGAATATGATGAGAATATCGCAGAATATTTGTCCTTACAACATATGATTCCTATAAGTCCTCCTGATCCATTACATGATACGTCAGGCTTCTATTTGCCACATCATGCGGTAGTTAAACCGGACAGTACCACAACCAAAGTCCGGGTAGTATTTAATGCATCATACCCCTCCACTAATGGTTTAAGTTTAAATGACATTCTCCATACAGGTCCTGTATTACAGAATGACCTGACCATCCTTATTCTTAATTGGCGCTTATATCGTTACGTATTTAATGGTGACATTCAAAGGATGTACCGCCAAATACGTGTCCATTCCGACCACACATCCTTTCAAAGAATATTGTTTCGAAAAACTCCAAATGATCCAGTACAAGACTACGAGCTGCAAACTGTGACATTTGGAGTGAATTGTGCTCCTTATTTAGCTATAAGGACTATGATGCAGCTAGCTAATGATATCCAATCCGATTTTCCATCGGCTTACAATATTCTCAAGTCGTCTATGTACGTAGATGATGCACTTGTAGGTGCACATGACATCTCGTCAGCTATTCAGACTAGAGATGAGTTGATCCTAGCATTACGTTCTGCGAAATTCTCAATGAGGAAGTGGACCTCAAACTCAAAGGAGATTCTACGAGATCTGCCTCCAGAAGACCTGCTCCACTCAGATTTTTTAGATTTCGATGACTGCAGTTTGGCGAAAACATTAGGGATTCGTTGGAATGCCCTTTCCGATGAATTCTACTTTTCCACAACATCCTTCTCTGCAGATAGTTTGTACACAAAGAGAGCCGTACTTTCACAAATTTCCAAGCTTTTCGATCCTGCTGGTTGGTTGGCTCCTGTAATTGTGTTGGCAAAGATCCTGATGCAGAAAATTTGGATGGATAAAACAGAATGGGATCATGAAATATCTGTTGAGTCACTACGTCTATGGAAAACATTCCAAAGTCATTACCCATTCATAAACCAAATTCGTATCCCGAGATGGATCCAGTATGCCCCCGAGCTTGAGGTACAATTTCATGGATTCTGTGATGCATCGGAAAGAGCCTATGCAGCGGCCATATATATTCGAGTCATATATCCCAACAAAATTTGCACTAATTTGATATCTTCCAAGACCAAGGTTTCCCCCATTAAGACTCTTTCCATCCCTAGACTAGAACTATGTGGTGCTGTCCTACTATCAGAAATGATCGATAACATCCTACCGCAATTTGACCTCCAAGACTATTCTGTATTTGGGTGGACAGATTCCTCAATAGTTTTATCTTGGTTGGCGAAACCACCCTGTTTTTGGAATACGTTCGTGGCAAACAGGGTATCTAAAATCGTTCAAGTGCTGGACCCATCTCGGTGGTTTCATGTTGAATCCGCTCACAACCCAGCTGATTTAGCAAGCAGGGGGATGTACCCCCAAGAATTGGTAAACAGTACACTATGGTGGAAGGGACCATGTTGGTTATCCGATCCAATGGAAACGTGGCCCAGACCAACTACCAGCATCGACTACGGACTCGCATTAGAGAAAAAACAAAAACAAGTGTACTTTTCCTATTTTGAAACGTACCAGGACGTATTGGAAACTTTCTCCTGTTACTCCAGAGCCATGAGAGTTATGGCATACACATACCGATTTATTCGGGCAACTCATCCTGGACAAAAACCTTCGTATAGAAAAGAAAATTCCCATATAATATCACCATCCGAAATTTCGTACGTCCGAAATCGACTAATATGTATTAGTCAAAAGGCAGTTTATCCAAATGAGTATTCCGCACTTTCTTCCGGAAAATCCATTTCTTCGAAAAGTACTTTATTGAGTTTGAACCCATTCCTGGATGCAGAGGGCCTTATGCGGGCAAGTGGCAGATTGGAAGGTGCTCCAAACCTCTCCTATAACGAAAGACATCCAATTATAGTACCTTATAATTGCGCGTATTCCAAGCTGTTTGTTTCCTTTGTCCACAACATAAGTCTCCATGGTGGAAACCAACTAGTACTTCGATTGGTTCGCAGTCAATATTGGATACCGAAGGTTCAAAATTTAATAAAAACAACTATCCATAAATGCAAACCGTGTATTTTATACAAACGCAAATGTCAAAAACAATTAATGGCTGCACTGCCCCCAGAAAGGTGTACGTATTCCAGACCCTTTACTCACACCGGATTAGATTTTGCAGGCCCATTTGACGTAAAAACTAACACGGGGAGAGGCTGTCGAATCACAAAAGGATATGTTTGTGTCCTGGTCTGCTTTGCAACAAAAGCAATTCACCTCGAAGCAACATCTGACCTATCTACTCCTGCATTTCTAGCTGCTTTCAGTCGGTTTGTATCCAGACGAGGATGTCCTCTCCACTTACACTCTGACAACGGAACAACATTCGTCGGTGCGTCTCGCATAATAGCAAAGGAATTTATTCAGACCTCATACAAAGCTCTCCTTTCCAACTATTCCCACCAAAACATTACCTGGCACTTCATACCTCCAGGCGCCCCACATATGGGAGGCTTATGGGAGGCGGGGGTAAAAAGCTTTAAGCAACATTTCAAGAAGGTTGCAGGATCTACCAGATACACATTCGAGGAGTTTCAGACTTTGTTATCGCGGATCGAAGCCTGTCTTAATTCTAGACCTATATCCTCTATGTCGCAAAGTCCATCTGACTTAACAGCATTAACTCCTGGCCATTTCTTAATTGGAACTCCAATCTTATTACCGTTAGATCCGGAAATCCAGGAAGAACCGATATCTATACGAAATCGGTGGCAAAGGCTCAAGGCGATCCATCAGCATTTCTGTGCCAGGTGGAAGAATGAATATTTAAAGGAACTCCAGAAACGACATAAATGGAAATCTCCAGAGATTAATGTCACTGAGAATACTCTTGTGGTAGTCCGCGAAGAAAACCTGCCTCCTAATTGTTGGAGACTGGGAAGAGTTACGAAAGTATACCATGGGTCCGACAACCGAGTAAGAGTTGCTGATGTCCGCACGCAAAGAGGCGTGATAACCAGACCCATTACGAAATTAGTCATTATATCAGACAATATCCCATAACTAATTATCCTTTTATCCTAAAATTTCCTAAATTAAATTATTTCTCTATCCTATCCTATCCAAAAATCCCTTTTCCATATCTAATATTTGTCTCTTTTTCAGAAAAATGAAGTTTCACAATAGAAGAACATCAGTTTCCACCAAATGCAAGTTTGCGTGTAGAGTTTGCCGGCAAAGGCATGCTCTTAAGTCATGCTCTCGTTTTCACGACTTAAACACCCTGGACCGTATGCGCGTTGTGAAGAAGTATGGTTATTGCATGAACTGCTTAGCCCATACTCACTCACAGGGGACTTGCTTCACCAAAACGGGCTGTAGGTACTGTGGCAAGGCACATCATTCACTACTCCACACCCATTCTAGACTTCGGAAAGCTTCATCTCGGGAAGCCGAGAGGAGGGTGACAGACGATAGGCATATCAGACAGGCAACTAACTCAACATCAAGTCAAGCTGTACAGTCTTTGTCCGGTTCTTCAACGTCTGGTCGAGATTCACGCATTGCTCCCATTACGCCAACCACCGCATCCCTTACCTCCCTACTAAACCACAACATGGTTACTCTACTGCCAACCATTTTAGTAAGAGTCGAAAATAAGGGGAAAAACCATCAGGCTAGATGCCTTCTCGATTCTGCGGCCAGAATGAGCTACGTATCCCAAAGGCTATTGGATAAGTTAGGCGTGGTATGTCTGGAACTTGACAAGGAAACAATTTGCCCCCTAACTCTATGGGCTACAGCGGAATTGTCAAGGAGTATAGATGTTACACTAAGAGTAAACCACCGGATCGGCACCCTGACGCCAAAGAAATCGCTCCCTGACTCCATAAAAGAACATTTCGCTAACTTTATATTGGCAGATAAGTTTTTCAACGTATCTGCGCCCATTGACATCGTTCTAGGCGTCGATGTATACGCAAGAATTGTACTCGATGGAATGTATGCCAAACCCGGACTTCCAACTGCCCAAAGTACTTTATTTGGAATTGTACTGTACGGAACATTCAACCATTAGATTAGAATTTAGACTAAAAGTCATTTTTTTTAATTATTATATCTCAAAAAAAAAAATGAATATTATTCAAATTGGATTTTTATAAATAATGAACTTACAAATGTGAATTTTTAAAATAAGTTCTATTTAACCTGTTCGAAATTAATTATTCCCATTCTATATATGTCTCTTCAACATGCGCCATAATAAGTTTTTTTTAAATATTTATTCCATTACAGTACACACTGTAAGGGGGGGAGGAATGTTTACGCCAAATGTGCATCCCTAAACTTTCCCCTTTCTTTTTGATTAACTAATATCTTTCTAAAAATGCCAAGGTTATTCCAGTGTAATAACGGCAAGATACTTGTACTAAAGTAATCAGTTTATAGCGAGTATATCGGCCATGTTGAAGGGACAATTTCCTTTTTTATCTGTCTTGTTTTTTGCTAACCTTGGAAGATACCACACCTGTCCAGTGAGTAGTCAATCCTAAGGCATCCAAAATAATAAAGATACTCTCCAACACTGAATATCCTAACACTTTATTATTTTATTTTTCTGGTGCTCTGTTGGGTTCATTTTCTTCATCCATTTGTGCGAGCAACGAGAACAAATATACGTACATATATTTGCTTCTTGTTTTGGCTCTCCATTACACGGTCTCTGCAATTAATCAGTGAACTCCCACGCTCCAAGTTCGACTCAAGTTCACAGCAAAACGTGTTTTTCTAGCGATGGATTTTTTGTCCACTACAACTAATATTGCCGTCAATGCTTACACCTGTTATAGTGCAGCTGCAGGAACATGGGTTAATGGCTTTAAACGCTGTGATGGCAACTTCTAGTTGGCTGCAAACCAAGGCCCGCGAAGTGTTTTCAAAGACAGGTGACGATGGTATATGACGTATTCTAGGTACATTCCACCAAACAGCACAAGGCGATCGTCATTAATTGCATATTTTAAGTTCTTCATTGATTTCATCATAATGTCACCAACCCCTCAAAAGCAACCAATTCTCATATTGTCGTGAAAAACAACCAGAAAAATACGAACGCAAACATTGACTTCCGTAACAAAAATTTGCCATTAACACCAATTATTTTTAAATATCGAATTACAATTTTGATATCTCTGAATGTGTCGTTGTGGGATTTTCTAAATGTTCACGAAAAAGACATGCAATATTAAATATTGCAGGTAAGTCATCAAATTAAAAAAAAAAAAAACATTTTGAAGAAAACCCTAAGACACAAGGAACGTCTGAAATGTAAACAAACAGCCAACCAACGACAACAGAAGGAACATGTTTACATAGCGTACGTTGTCAGTGGAATGGTTTAAATGGGTTCTTTTTTACAATAGCAAACAAACTGCCGGTTTAAATTTCCATTAGGTTTGACAATATTTGCTATAGAAAATAAAAAACTCAGGGCAAAAGTTAAATTAATTCTAAGAATTTTTTTGGTTGGTAGCATAGTTAAATTATTGAGAAAATTTCATTTATGGAAAATTACATTTATGGAAATTACATTTATGGAAAAAAATCAGTGTGTCGCTGAGGGCCTGTTGTGACATTAAAAATTATTTTTTAAAGGTGTAGTAGATTGTGTTTAGGATTTAAGGAGGCATTCTCAATTTTCTTGAGAATGGATGAATTTTCTTTTGAATCTTTAATGTAAGATGTTTTTAAGGTATTTCAAAACCAAATTCTATATAACAGTCAAATTTTATATAACATGTCAACCTCAACCTCGTTTTCGTATAGCCCTCATATAACGGTACCTCTCGATATTCGATATTTTGATGATTTTAGCGGTGTATACGCAGTCATACGGCTACAGAGAAGATATATCATTTCATAGGGCCAAAACCGTTCCTCACCTAATTAGCGGTTTTAGACTTAAGGACTCTTTGCACCAAATCCGTTTCAGGACGTTTGGAGTCCATCTAGGGTGTACGTCTATCCGTCTGTCTGGCTGGTGCGCACGATAACTTTCAAAGGAAGTATCCGATTTCATAGGGAGTATCCGATTTCAAAAAACAAAAAAAAAAAAAATTTTCAAACTTAAATAGAGTTCGGAAATGGGTAACATTGGTCCACACGTTCTGGTACCTCCTCCACAAAATGTCAAATTATCTACCAAGGATGACTAAAGGATAATTTGTGTAAACTTTGCAAATCCCAATATTTTTTAATTATCTCCCCCACAAAGGGTAAAAATCTGAAATAATTATAACTATTATGTAATGAGAAATAAAATTCCGAATGTTTTTCAGATTTCATGAAGGTGGGATATATCGGTCCACTCATTTTGGTACCTCCCACACAACGGTTCACAATTTTTAATATCCATGGAGTTTGTAAAATGCGAAATGAGCATCCGATTCCTTTCAAACTCAGCACATCCCAATATGTCTATCAACACAAGATCAGGTATGAAGATTGAATATGTCGAACTAGTTCTTTTTTTCTGTTTTTTGGTAACTCCTCCGCATGGGGTCAAATTTTTGAATAATAATATCTCTCATAAAATGCAAAATAAGCATCAAATTTTCTTCAAATTTCATATATACCAATATTTTTACTAAAGCCTCTTCTCTTTTATAGCGCGCAAAACAAGTCGGCGATTTTTTCAAACTTGTTATATCTACATATTTTTCTCAGTCAAAGATCTGACGTGAATATGGAATTTATCGGCCCACTCCTTCTTGTACCTCCTTCACAAAGGCTAAAAATTATAATTAAGAATTTTTCCAAAATATTGGCTTTAGATGCCTGATTTTCTTAAAATTTTGCACATTCACATATTTTTATCAGTTTGGATGAAGTAGAATGCTTTGGTGCACTATATCTGCTACTTCACACACATTCAAAAATTATCATATATATAAATAAGATAGGCTATATAGTTCAAATCTGGCACAATGTAATATTTACATCAAACTTATGCCAGCTACAAAATGGACAGTATTGGCCCACTCGACTGATATTTTTGAACTGTTTCTCTAACATTTTCTTACTATTTTATATAAAATGTTACCATGAATTCACAAATTGATCAGTATACCTTGACATCTAACAAATATTTAACTCTTTGATATTCTTACAACATTTATTCATTTGCAATCAGATGATATTTTCAATAAACTTATACTAAATATTCCACAAGCATACCAAAATACAAATACAATGTAGTAAAAAAACAAAATACAAAATCTCAGTTTAAAGCCATTGGGGTAAACAACAGACGATGAAAGACATGATTAGCGTTTATTTTATAATACACTTTGATATCGAAATTTGTTTAGTGTTAACCGAAACAAGATGAAGCCCAAGTAAATGCAA